TGTGAGCCGCCCAGAGTCCCCCATTGGGGGGAGATGGGCGGGGAGAAATTTAATAAATAAATAAATAAATAAATAAATAAATAAATAAATAAAGCAGATAAAGGGGTACCATCACCCTGGCTCATAGGGCTATGGTTCTGGAGATTAGAATTCTGTTCCTAGTTCCCCATTCATGCCTTTGCTTTTAAAGCTCTGTGGGGCTGCCTGTTTTTCAGCTCTAATTTCTGACTGAGCACCTATCTCTGGTTTTGGTTCATCCTGTTCAACTTCCCTAAGCAACTTTAGCTTTCTGGCATTAGTCCATCCTAACTCCCTTGTGACTAGTTTAAGCTTAAAGCCCCTTCCTCATTCTGTTTGTAATTTTGCTTCTTTTGCTCTTCCCCTGCTTTTTCAAACCTCACATTTTCTGCAGAGTCTTTTCCTTAACCCTGAGTTCTTATTTCCAACTGTAACTATAGCCGGCACTAGAAGTTGCAAGGGCGGTGGTCTGTATGGTAAATCCCCCTCTTATGGGAAGGACTATTATAGGGGTATTTTGGCACATCTTTCCAGATGGATGTTGCATTCTCTATTCCTTGCTTTGTGACTGAGAAGCAGAATAATAGAGTTTATGCAGGCTGGAGGCACGTTTATGTACAGTTTTGTCCCTCCTAGGATCTACTCTAAAATCTTGGCTTCTCCAAAAAAGAAATTATATATTTTATTATTATAATGCACCCTCACCGGGGGACCATGTCTTAAAAAGAGGAAGCAAAATGCCTAAGATCGGCCTTGCTTGCCTTTGCAAATCCTACCTGTTTTATTGCATTTTGACCAAACTGTAAATTAACATGGCAGCTTTGGTTAGGAAATGAGCTAGAACTATTTCAAAGGTGTAAATGTGTTTCCCCAGATTAATTAACTAAGTTAATTAAGTTTTTCATTCCCATTCCCGCTTCCTCTGCTATGTGTGAGTGGGGGCTGTGGGGGGGGGGGAGTTGCTTCTGAGACTTCATAATGTACCATATAATGTGGATGTTGTAGATCTGCCTATTTATATTAATCTCCTTCTATCCGATAAATATTGCAAAGCCGTGCTTTTTCAGGTATTGACAGCACATGGCTAGAGAATTTCTTTCCTGGGTCTGAAAGTGCAGTTTTTATCTCTACCCGAGGCTTCGTTTTAATATCATGGGCTTTCCCTCTGAGGAATGATGGTGAGAGCAGTCTTGAAAAGCCTCAATTTAATTAATTAACGTCAGGCAAAAGTGCTCCGACAGCGGAAAATGTTACTGTTGGCTGACTCTGGAGTGGTTTGACGACAGTACGAGACAGTGATTGATGAAGAAGATTTCTGAATTATTGATTTTTACAGAAAGCCTTGCTCATAAAAAAAACTGCTTGTTAGGAAAGTGCTAAAAATAAAATGATAGGACTGATTAATACGCTGGTCGTGGGTGAGTTTCAGTATTTTTTTTTAATGCCGTGGGTAGTGAATGCATAATGGAATTCCTACTTTCCTTGCCAGCCTGCAATAGATTGAAGCTCTGTTACCGACTGAATTCACAGATTTTGTTAAGCCGTAAGGTGGCTTATTTAGTTTGGGTTGGGTTTCTGCGTTTGATAAACTGTGGTTTATTGGCTTAGTGGATGTGTGACCCAACCAATTATGGTTTGTACAGTACACCATAGTTAAGAAAATCATAGCTTAATGCAGTGTTTCTCAACCTTGGCAACTTGAAGATGTGTGGACTTCAACTCCCAGAATTCCCCAGCCAACATGGCTGGCTGGGGAATTCTGGGAGTTGAAATCCACATGTCTTCGAGTTGCCAGGGCTGAGAAATGCTGGCTTAATGCAATGTGTAAACACAGCCAAGATGATTACTGAAGACTTCTATATGATAAGGGAATAACAGAGGTCTGTATTATTACATGTGGGAAGAATACATTAGCTCTGTGCTATTCACACTTTACTGCTCGAACAATCAGAAAGAAAGATAATTTACTGACTGGTCTTCGATAGCTTCTAGAAACTGGGAAACAGTGTTCTGCTAAAAAGTAAGAATTCACTTATGCAGAGCCTTTAAAAAAAGATTTATTATATAGCAATACTTCTGAGTATTAGTGTAGGCCAATGTTCTCTCAAACCATCGTTACAATGGCCTTGGATTAGTAGAGGTATCAGTCCTGTCCACGTAAAGATCAAGAGCATAGGTGTCTTTAAAAGAAATTGGACCCACTTGCTCCATAAATTTGCCTATTAGTGGTTATTATGTGATTTCTAGATTCCCAGGCAATATGTCATTACATAACAGCTCCTGGAGGAGAACCCTCTAGTGAAAGATCTTGTCTTTATGTCCTCTGTGTGAAGTGACCCAATAAAAGTGGCAGAATTTACTTGTCCGTATGATTTCTTATCCTTGTGTTGGTCATCAGTCTATCGGCAGTTAAAAAGGGAAGAAACAGGAGAAATGCTTTCTCCCTGGAATTCTGACTCAGCATCATGAGTTTCTTTTTTGCGAGCTTCGATATTTGGCACCACGGTTTCAATCGGAGCCAGGCTGTGTTAACGTTTCCTCTCATACAGTTCTTCCTGGTGTATTACAAGGTCTGAGGATCGAACGAGATGCACTTCTCTGTTGTTTCCAGAGGCGTACTATTGTAGCCTGCGCAGCAAAGAACCAGAGGCGGTTTGCGTCAAACACCAAACATGATCTGCAAACCAAGTTGTGCAGGTCCAGTTTGATTAGCTGAAATCTATAGAAACCCAGAAAATAGGGCAAATTGAGTAAACTGTGAATCAGTCAACCCGTGTCATGGAAATACAGCCAAGGAGTCTGGGGCATCTTTAAAGACCAATACATAAAATCTGCTTTTTTACACTGATTGTTTTGTGTCCTAGATCCAGATAACCCCATTGGCTTTGTCCTTGGTGTTGATCTTCTTCACCTTTCTCCCCTGGAAGGAGCGATTTTCCTACCTCATGCCGATATCACGGATCCGGGCGTCCACAGAGAAATCCAAAACCTTCTCCCTAAAGGAAAAGTGGATGTTATCCTAAGTGACATGGCACCTAATGCTACTGGGATCCGGGAACTCGATCACCAAAAGTTGATCCATCTTTGCTTGTCCCTTTTGGATCTGGCCCCGTGCATTCTGCAGCCTGGAGGGGTCCTGCTGTGCAAATTCTGGGATGGCAAGGACGCCCATCTCCTCCGAAGGCGACTGATGCAAGACTTTCAGGAAGTGAGGACGATAAAGCCTCAGGCGAGTAGGAAGGAATCGGCCGAGACTTTTTTCTTAGCAAAAACATACCGAGCGGAGGCAAATGTGCAGCTGAAGAAACTCAAGTAGCTCCATGCGTTCTGCGGGGCATCGCTTAAGATTAATGTTCCAGAGCTGGTTTCAGCCATAGCTGCCTTTTCTTTGGAGTTGGAGGGTGCTAAAGGCTGCAAGTTTTGCACGCCGTTGGGAGAAGTGATGGGTTTAACCAACCAGATCCAGCTGGGAAACGCAAGGATAATGTTGACAGAAACATGCCTAACATTGATCAATTATTCAGTAAGTCTAGAAATCGATTAGTTCAGCCATTCAGTTTATCCACGAGCCACTTCTTTATCAGCGTGTATGAAGGTATATAGCAGTTCGAATTTTGAATACAAATAAGCCCAATGTTTATGCTGTATTTTCTTCAGTATTTAAACGGATTTGCTCTCTCTTGTTTATGAGGGTGTTGAATGGGTTTTCATTTATACTTTCGAACTTTCATTTTCCCAAGCAGCCCCAGGAAGTTTGCGTATAGGACTGATTTTACATTGTATAAATCAGTGTTTCTCAACCTTGGCGACTTTAAGATACGTGGACTTCAACTCCCAGAATTCCCCAGCCAGCCATGCTGGCTGGGGAATTTTGGGAGTTGAAGTCCACGTATCTTAAAGTTGCCAAGGTTGAGAACACTG